TTTGTTTTGGCTGCACGAAACTTGGTGCGAGTGAGCCTTTAGACACATTTTTCGGCTACACTTTGTTGCAAAAGTCCGGCCACAAATGCGGTTTTGAAGTGGATGTAGATGAAAATTTCGAAGCAGGAAGCACTGAAATCTGAGCAGATGACGCGGTAGAACGAGATACTATGTTAATGACTGTTACTGTCTGTACTTGTTCATGCTTGCTGGTCTGTTCTTTTTTAGGTGTCTTGATAATGCAATGTATTTAGTAGTGTATGTAAAACTGATGTAAAGCAATATTTTCCATGGTAAATATACGCGGACGATATCACGTTTTTAGATTAAATAAGACTGTACATAGCGACCCGTCATATACAACGCAAAAAGTAAGAAGATTGCTTACTTTGGGAAGAGGTGCACATCATGGGAAACAACAAAAGCATCAGGAACAGCATCTTCGCAGAACTGGCTGAGGTACTGTTCATCTTTGATGCTACGACTTTTATGACGCACTGAGTAACACGATCGCTTACAAGCATTGCAATGTTCGATTTGAACAACATTCTGAATGTCAAGCGAAGAAGTCTGGTCTATTGTACAGTTAACACTGAGGCCCTTGCGACCTCCAGCGTTCCAAGCTCACGTCTCGATAGACCACACTGTGTGTTCGTGTTTGATAATTGTTGACATATGACGAACAAAATCTGAAATTTGCTTATCAAAATTACATCTCGGTCTGAATATCTCAATATAGTTGTCAGTAGAGTTGTTTGATTTGAACAACATTCCGAATGTCAAGGGAACAAGTCTGGTCTATTATAAAGTTAACAGGCCTTTGCGACCACAAGCGCCCAAGCTCGATTCTCGATAGACCACACTGTGTGTTCGCGTTTAATAATTGTTGACAAAAGACAAACAAAATCTGAAAACTGCTAATCTAAATTACATCTCGGTCTGATATCTCAATATGGTTACATGTAATGTAAATGGACCCATTTGTGGCATATTTTCGTCTTTAAGAGCCGTTTGAAGCGTATTTTCACAAAATTAATATTGCCGATACAAATTTATCAAATTGATACGCGCTTTCTCTCTTTTGCGCTTTTTACGTGTAGCTGCACCCTCCTCCCGTGGAGAAACGGAAGGGTTCCCGCCCTTCCATTTCTCCACTGGGTGAGGGTGCGGCTACACTTAGGCTACTCTTCCGTAGATTCAGTGTTTAATGGTACATCTTCTATATATTTATATGAATAAGTCTGTGAAAAGCGTTTTTACGGATATTCGTGGCCGAAAAATTGCGAGAAGGGAACAATAAAATTTTATCCTGATTGCAATACGCTCAGCATTGTGCACAATACGTTTAGCTTTGTGTGGTAAACACTTGAGTGTTTATCCAGTACCAGCTGTAAATTGCTGCTCGTCTTCAACGTCTTCGACAAAGACCTGTTGACCTTCCGGTATAAATGGCTGAGTCGTCCTCTTTCAAGTCCATCTTTAAGCCCAATTTTATCCTAGAACTTTCGGAAAACTTAAATCTGTTCGAATATGCGAAGAAAAACAGACGCCCTCCAATGGCTTACAAATATGTCATTTTCGAACAATATGGCCATGGAAAATAAATTAGAATTTGCAACAAAAGCAGTGGTAAATACCAATCTAGCTTTGTAAGGTTAGTTTAGGCCCGTGTCGCACTAGAGCTTTTTTCGTTTTTGTAAGCGAAAAATCTGTTAAGAAGTAGCGTAAAATAAGTGCGACTACCAAATTTTAAATCTTCAAAGGAGCCGATGTCCTGCCTCGGAGGCTTCTAAAATTTGGCAAAACAGACAATCTTGTATTTTAAACCACTTAGCTGTCATCTCACATAAGGCATGTCTACATGAATTTAAGCGGGAAAAGTATGCTTAAGTAGGCTCAGTGGTACCTCAATTTAACAAAGTGCTAACGGACTGGGGGAATTGGCTCGTTACATCGAGGGTTCATTATATCGTGGTTCTGTGGCTTACATTTTACTGTAACTTTAGCCGGACTGAAACTGAAGTATCGTTCGTTATATATACCGAGGACATCGTCATATAGAGGTTCGTTAAATCGATGTCCCACTGTAGTTACTTTAGCTCGCGCGATGGCAGGACATAATTCATTTTCCTGTCCATGAGATCCTCAGTTTTTGTTTGAGGGAAACGAGGAATTGAAGCGACGTTTTTATTCGGTCCATGACTCGTACCCTGCGCACGGTCACTGGCGACAGTATCGAGAACAGTCAGCTTTAACGTATAACAAGTTGGCGTCGAGAGTAATCTCCCGGAAGTTCCTATTGGGAAAATGTCTCAAGGACGGTAAGAAAAAAAAAAAAATAAAAAAGAAATGATCAAGGACGGTTTCGAAAGGGAGCTCTATTTAAGCGGATTCTTCGTCTTCTATGTCTAAAAGCTGATACTAGCCGCATATATAGAAGCCTGCTAATAATGTACTAACAATATCAAAAACGCTACGTTTTTTTACAGAGAAAGAAATGCAAATTCCACCAAAACCCTAAAAACCGCGAAAAAATCTTTTCTCGCCCAGTCATGATTAAGTAGGCATTTTTTTTTTCATCTTTTAATAGGTAGAGATGGGTTTGTGATTGACGTATGTGTCAAGATAGAAAGTTGGAGGAAGTAAAATGCATAGATAAAGCTTTTAGGTGATATAAATTATGAATAGTAAATATATATGGCAGACCTCTTCGTAGACTATTGAAGTTGACCTTTATTTACCTCAGTGAAAAAGACACAGAGTACATTATTTCAACGGTTCAATTTTCAGACTTAAACGCGACAACATAACAAGATATTTATATTTTCAAAGAAATTAAGGGAACATCTGCTGGCACACAAAATTTAAAAGCGGGATTGCACCGCACTGTGGCGTATGAAGTTGCCAAAGTTGCATAATTTTTCATTGCTTTATAGTGGGGACAATGACAGTCTAGGCTTATTTCGAACTTTCGATTTTTCACAGAAAGCAAAGCGCGATACAACTTTTTCATATAATTTTTGAACAAGCCTCAAAAGGGTCCTTTTGCAGCTTTCGGCGGGTTCTCGATATTTATGGTCACTGGGTCTTAACCACCAAAGCATAGTGTGGTCTGCGTGTGGTGAGACGTGGTGTTAAGTTAGCGATTTGAACGCGGAACAAAGAATAGTATAGGAAGTAAAATTTGGCCGATTTACAAAGCTAAAAAAGAATCCGAAATACATACTAATGTTTTGGATCACATATCAAAACCGCGCGTGGTTTTCGTCTGTCTTCCCATTGGGCATCAAAATTCATGCATATAAACAAAACAAATCAAGCACAATGAAACAATAGTTCAGTTAATTACTGTAAGCGACATTGCCAATTTATTTCCTTTCGTTGACAACAATTTTTACATCGCGATTCGTAAACGAAGAGATATTTAAAAATTAATTTTTCTTGAAGTCTGGAAAATTAAAAAAATATCGATATACTTTCTAGTGGGGGGGCATTCTAATTGTGGTCTTCGATAAAAATCACGGCATCTTGCATTGAACCTTATACCCATAAATACTATAACATCTCCTACCTTTTATCCAAAGCATCCAAAGGATATAATGCTTCGCTTCCCACAGTTTTTCTAAATACCTTCGGATGCCACAGATAATTCCATGAAGGGTTCCTGCTGGATACATCTTCCCTTCACTATTCGAAACCTCCTGGACAAATTTACTCAGCCAGTATTTTAAGTGTTGGTATCCACATTTGCTGTTCTCAACGACTGAACTTTGTATAAATCTCCATACTCTTTAAAAGCGCTACCAACATCACGTACAGGAGCTTAAACTTTTCTATTTATCTGCCATTCGTGAAAACTGTTATCANGTTTCTCTTCCGCTTCTTTTTATACATTATTTTACCCTCGCTATTTTGAATAACTGACAGGTGTAAACAGACGGTGCTGTACTTCAAACTGTTGAATAATTAAGGGAAGCCGTGTATGTTTCTGTGTCTTTCTTTGAATTGCTCGAAACAGGGCTGCACTGTCTTCAAAATGTTCCATTTACACTAGACTTATCTTCACCGTAGTTGCAGTCGATTCAAATGTTCAGTACATACCAGTAATGGATACATGTCTTTATTTCTTTTCTTTTGTCTTTAAATCCATTTTAATCCAACTCACTCGAAATCGGAAGTTCCACTTTATGGTTCTGAAAGCGGTTTTCGCAGTAATGAACACTATTTAAGCAGTAGTAAAAATAAGGCCTGAAAAATATTAAGGCCTGTGCATGTTTGGTTTTTCATATAATCACAGTTATATATTTACTACTTCACAGGTTTATGACATATCAACGTGATGATCAGCTCCCAGTTAGCTTGTAAACTCTGTTAGTAGAGCACTCCACCGGTATCGTAGAGGTCATGAGTTCAAATCCCATACAGGGCTGATTTTTATTTTCACACCTTATTTTCACAACTGCGTAAGTAGTGCTCATTACCGCGAAGTTCGCTTTCACGTTCATTTTATAAACCGCAGCTCACATATATGATTTTCATATATTCTCAGTTATTTGCTTCAAGTTACCTCGCAGACAATTTAGAAGACCTGACACTTATTGAAAACGAAAAAATAATAAGATTAAAATAAAAAAAAAATAAAACTGTGATAATAATAATAACAATAATAATAATAATAATAATAATAAACAAAAGTTCCCTCAGGAGTGTACAGAACATGCTCAGTGGTGTTAATTGCAAAACTGCTCTGGATTCTACCACTTTTCGTCTCCCTTAAACTGACTTGTTCTTCCAGAGTTAAGATATTTTTTAAATTAGCGCTGAAAATAAGCAGTCAAAATTTGTAAGATTATTATGGATAGATATGCACGATTTGAATCTCACGTATTTAAGGACCCCTCTGAGATATGCAAAAATGCATTTGAACACCGATAATCCGGAACTCGATTATCCGGACTTCTCGATCTCCGAACTTTTTCTCTGATCCCACTTTCCATGAATATTCATTGTCATGATTACGTTCCGTAGCCATAATTATTCTTTTCAAAACTACAGACTTGAAAAGTAAAGTAAGGCGAATTTGTTTCGCTTTTAAAAAGCAAAAGCAGCGCTCGCACGCATCGCAATTAATGAAGAACATTTGAATGAAGTTTGGTTAGCTTAGGGTTGCATTGTTGCTTAGTGAAATTTCACGTTCTATTAGCTCGTTCGGATAATCGTTCTTCTAGCTGAGTCCGGATAATCGAGGTTTAACTGCAGTGATAATAATCATAACTATTCTAGCAACAATCAATGATAACACTTTATCTTGAATTTTTATTCCTTTTTCTAGTTGAGCGTGAGGTAAAAACATAAAAGAATTGAGTACATAGAATACAGAAGGAGAAAATTTAAAATTTTCCTATTTTTTTTCCACGGCTCACTGTATGTAAACGAAGACTGAGAAAGAAAAGAACGTAAGTGGGAAAAAAATCAACTCTAGAAATGAACTACATCATAGATACCAGTAAATGCTTTAAAGGATTAGGCAGGAAAATTGTTCTGCAGAAAAGGTCATATCTTCCGTTTTTCTAGTTTTGTCGCTGATTTGAAATATTTGTCTGGAATTCCTTTCAGGGCGATTTGTTTCCTTCGCCAAAGAATCAAGTAAAGTCTACATTTCGTCCAACCTCCTGCCTCGACTATCTACTGAAAGGCGCCTCGAAATGCGGTGTGTACAAGCTCTACGACCGTGCTGGCAACAGTTATCCAGCTTACTGTGATCTGAAATCAGAGCCTGGTACCGCTTGGACCTTGGTCATGTTCTGGTCGAACATCTATCGCCTTCAACCTGCTTTCCTGAAGATTCCCTTTCTTCTCGACGCTCCGGTGAACGAGAATTCCTTCTATTGAAATACTTACCGCCTAAGCCTTGCCCGAATTAGGTCGTTGCAGAGTCATTCTACCCACTGGCCAGCCACTTGTAGCTATCCAACGCATGGGGTCGATTTCCGAGACTATCTTCGTGACAACTTCAAAGATTTTAAAATTGTTGACTTTCACGGGTCTGGAAAATGCATGAAAGTGGAGTAAGTCAACAGTAGCGGGCACATCGGCATGCATCTGACGGCGCGTTTATGGCAGGCGGCTAACAGTTGGATTTTGCATATCGACAGAAGTCATTCCGGCTGCTAGTTTGTTCCACGGTCTGGGTCGGTGTCAGGGGAAGACAACTTTGGCTTTCACTCGTTAATAAACCCAAAATTTCGCTACACAGCAGGCCCCCATGCGACAACTCAGTGGTGATTCGAAGCTCATTTGTAGTCTCCCTCGGGAGATTTTAAGAAAAAGGAGGCGGGGAATCTTAAGTCTCGTGAAAACCCCGTAATTTTGATTAAGCAGTTTTGGCATACATGGAATGTAGGCTCTAGCAAACTGGATTGTCAGATGATAATAAAAAAAAAAAAAACTATAAAAAATGGAGTGCGTGAGATTGATTTTACTGCATTAGAATGGATGAATACACATACCCAACAATACTGCCATCTCCTCGATCTCTCTGCGTTGTTTTTTACAATGTAGTTAAAACGTTTGTTTTTCAAAGCAAATAATGTTTCAAAACGTGATAATTGTCGCAAAATTCATCCGATCTTGAGTAACAACGTCAACGATATTTGCTTCTCTGTGTTGTGAAATAAAATATGCTGTTTGATATTTGGCTAGATCGTATTAGGGTTCTTTTCAATACCCAAATGTTGTTTGTACAAGCTCACATTCACTAAGGTGCCCACTTGTGTTAGCCGCACGTCAAATGAAGAAAAACATCAGTTTTATTGAGAGCAGCCTGTGGATGTCATTCATGAACCTGATATAGGCGCTCTGTGCTCAGTTGTTGCCAATGCACATATCGACACTCAAGGTCTTAAAATAATTGAGAAGAATTTGCTACCTTTCTATGACATCAAGAAATGGTTAGATATTCTAGTCTTCTCGGATAGGGACAAATAAATGGAGGTCCCGTCTCGTGCAGGGCTGGGGTAGGAGACGTTAATTTCCCACACACGAGATTACAGTGAGATGGATGTCCTCCCCTGGGGTGGGATGGGAGGGAAGGTGGACTAGCTCGAATGGTTCGCATGTTCCCTTTCCCCACTGCAAATTAATGCAGTGAAAATGGAATAAATTAAACTAAAATTAAATGAAATTAAATTAAGACCCCTTCGCTCAGATTAGATTACAAAATTGTTTCCTTTTCTTTCTAAACTATTCGTCTAACTTGTTTACAAACCTCATTCGGCTATCAAATGCGTTGATGTTAAGGCCCGATAAGAAGAGAGGTGGCGTCTAAATATGATGCCAACCCAAGGGAATTGCCTTGGAGAGTTCTCTCAGTGGACAAGAAATTTACAAGTGAACGTTTCTCAAATAGAGAAAATCAGAAAGATTACTATGGATAGATATGTACAATTTGAATCTCTCAGCATTAGGAACCCTCTGTGATAAGCGGACTATCAAGAAGCAAAAACAATGATAATAATTATAACTATTTTAATAGCAATAAATGATAACACTTTATCTTGATTTTTTCATTCCTTTTTCCAGTTGGGCGCGAGGTAAAAACCTACAAGAATTGAGTAGAT